TTTAAAAAAGATGTAACAGACACTACTAGAAATCCGGAAAAAAGCGACTAAAGTTGGTCGCTTACAGGTCACAAAGCGACCAAAAAGCGTCCAAATGGGGCTGGTCGCTATTTTGCTGGTCCCTTTACCTTAGAGACCAAAGTTGGTCGCTATTTTGCTGGTCTCTTTACCTTAGAGACCAAAGTTGGTCGCTAATTAGCGACCAACTTTGGTCTCTAAGGTAAAAGGACCAAATATTCCGGATAAACAACATACCGACCAACTTTGGTCGCTTTAACATTTTAATAATATAAATTTAGTGACAAAATTTTGTCTCTAAATTTAAATTACATTTTTTTATTTATTATTAATCAAAATATAGCGACCAACTTTGGTCTGTAAACCAAATATTATAATTTCAAATCTGGAAAATAGCGACCAAAGTTGGTCACTCTTTTTCAAATTTTTTAATTTTTTCTGGGCAATAGCGACCAAAATTGGTCGCTAATTTCAAGAATTTAATTATTTTTTAAACTTAAGCGACCAAAATTGGTCGCTATTGTCCAGATTTTTTTTTAATAAAATAGCGACCAAAGTTGGTCGCTTTTCAGGAAATCTGGGTTAATTAGCGACCAACCTTGGTCGCTATTGCCCAGAAAATATTTTTTTTAAATAGAAAAGCGACCAAAGTTGGTCGCTTTTCTGGGTATAATTTTGGCAAAAACTGCCTGTTTTGGCAGCTACACCATCTGCCAGCATACCAAATTCTCTATTACAATCAACAACAACAACAAATACCAACAACAACACAACAACAACAACAACAATAACATTAACAACAACATTAAAACCAACAAAGTATAAAGTTCAATAGAACTAACAAATTAAGCTAACAAAACTAAGTTAACGCTTATTACAAGCCCATTCGAAAATCGGTTCTATTTGTCTAGTTTAAAGTATATAAAAGTCAATGAGTGTATTGTACATCATTATCATCACCGTCTGATGAGCTTTCATCACCACGACGGTATACAGAAGGGTCTACTTGTCGAGGATGGGAAGAACGATCACGGGGAGGACGGGAGGAACGAGCATGGGGAGGACGGGAGGAACGAGCACAGGGAAGTCGAGCCTCTGGCGATGACTCACGAGACCGGGGAATCGGAAAACTTCCAGAAGCTAGGAGAGATTTGAGCTGCTCTTGCATGCCCTGGCACTGAGCTTGCATGCCCATGTACTGAGCATCTCTAATTTTTTCTCTTTCCTTGGCCGCTTCTAGCTCGGATGTGAGCTTTGTCACAGTCTCCCGCATAGCAGAGAGGCTCTCCCCATCAAGTTGCTCGCCTTGCGAGGAAGTCCTTATTCCTTGCATTCCACACTTATAGCGATGGAATTTCTTAGTAGGAAGCCCGTATACCTTCCCCCATTTTGGAAGCAGCCTCCGTCCACATTCTTTCAGCATCTTCGTCCGAAGGTTGGATTGGCTCGCCCGACTCATTAGGTGGCTGACTGCGTATGAATTCCTCCAAACCGAGCTCTCTAGGTCCAAATATGAAATAGAGATGAAACCCTCGATCTAAGCCCTTTTCTGCCCAGCGATTTCGCATGTGTGGCTTTACTGTCGCACATGCGATGTCGTACCAGCGAAAATTCCATCGCAGGTGCGGCTCCAACTAATTCCATGAGACTCCGCTTCTGTGGACAAATGGCTCGCACCTGCGACCCCGCTTCTGCGGAGACTAGACCGCACCTGCGGTCCTGCACAAGTCCTTCCAAAATTTCGCTTCTGCGGAAGAAAAGTTCGCACCTGCGCCCAGGTGTCCGCACCTGCGAACCCAGACCTGGGTTGCCCCTTTCCGCTTCTACGCTTCACCACTTGCACCAGCGAGTCCGTACCTGCGGCCATTCCCACCGCAGGTGCGATAACACCAGAATTGTTGATGCTTCAGCAAAAATGATCAAGTCCAAATTGGTTCCGAATTCAATCTGAATCACACCCGGAGGCCCCAGGACTCTGTCCGAATATACCAAAATGTTCCAAAACACATAATGGACCTACTCGAGGACAAAAATCACATCAAACAACATCAATTCAATGAATCGCAATCCAATTCAAGCCTATTGAAACTATGAACTTCTGACTTCCAAAACTAACGCCGAATCATACCAAAAAAACTCCGATTGACCTTAAATTTTGCACACAAGTCATAAAATGACATGACAGACCTATTCCAACTTCCGGAATCAAAATCCAACCCTGATATCAATAAAGTCAACTCTCGGTCAAACTTCTCAACCTTCCAAACCTTCAACTTTCTAACTTTCGCCAATTCAAGTCGAAACGACCTACGAACTTCCAAATCAACATCCGGGCATGCTCCTAAGTCCAAAATCACCATACGGAGCTATTGGAACTGTCAAAACTCCATTCCGGAGTCATCTATGTAAAAGTTAAACTACGGTCTACTCTTTCAACTTAAGCCTCTGACTTAGGGACTATGTGTCATATTTTACTCCGAAACTCGCCTAAAACTAAAACCAAACACCTTGGCAAATTACATAACCAAGATACATAAAGGAGGTTAATTAAAACCTTCGGATAGTGGGAGATTAATTAAAACCTTCGGATAATTAAAGATTTTGGATGCCTGAACACCCCAAAACGTGGCAGCACCCCCTTCCCATCTAATGACTCTTAATATAGAGTGAAAGGTGTCACATTTTAAGGAATAAATGTGACACAAGTATTGAAAGGTGGGGCCCACACCATCAAGACTAAGATTCATTCTCCAATTCAAAAATGAAGGTGTATTATATCCGTAAAGGCTTCGGCAAGATAACTTCATGAAAGCAACAGTGCGATTCCATAGATTCTTCAACAATTCAAGACGTAAGATTTCATAGGTTCTTCGACAATTCAAAACGTGAGATTTGCAATTACAAGGGAGTACGGTGCAATCTTTCTCAAGAATATCATAAGGATTTTTTCTTATTCCGATTTTGTCGTCACGTGTTTTGTCGCAATTAACGCGTGTTAGAGGGATTGTCAAGAGAATCGGTTCAAGTATGTTAAGTCTATCCCTTCTTTCTTTTTGACATGATCCGTACGATACAAACGAAACGAGCAAATCCACAACTTTCATAAACGACTCTATTCATAGAATTACTAAGGATGCCTATGTTCTTGATCTCCCATGTGAATTATCATTATATCTTCTATTCATGGGTCTCGGAAAATACGTAGTTAATAAAGTTATCCGAAAGGTATAATAATCTTATAACATTCCGAGAAAATCTTATTATGGTATTTCTTATGTATTTCATTCACTTATACATGTACATTGACCCATGACTAGATGGCGTTATATACGCGTATATTATATGTATAGGGGATATGGGAAATGGTTACGGCGTTATATACGCACCACCACCTGATCAGCTAGTATATGTTGATAATTTTGCCCACAGTGGACGAGATGATATGATGGGATACCCTCAGAGGCTTGATGATGTTACGAACACCTATACCTATGCATGACACGATATTATGTTTCAGGATTTATAAAGCTATTTAGACTTACATGCAGAATTCTTTATTGCATGTTTCATCTATGTCATTTATGTACTGATTTTCATGCCTTACATACTCAGTATATTATTCGTACTGACGCTCTATTCTCGGGGCTTGCGTTTCATGCCCGCAGGTGCGGGTAGACAAGCTGACGGTCCCCCTTTTTAGGATCCTTGAGCAGCGAAAGTGGGTGTGCTCCATTTGATCCGGAGCTGCTTTGGATTTTGGTACAATATGTTTGTATACATATATGGGTATGACGGGGCCCAGTCCCGTTCTTGTACAGTTGTATATTCTGTTAGAGGTCTTTAGACAGTCATGTATAGTTGGGTAGTATGTGGCCTTGTCGGCTTCCAGTTTTGAATATGTAGTTGTCTATAGCAGCCTTGTCGGCTCGCCCTACGTATTTCGCACGTGTATGTATATATGTCTTTTGGACAGGTTTCCTCACGTATGATATTCTCGTGGTTCAGCAGATGTTATTCATGTTTATATATTAGACGCATGCTTAAGGGTGTTCGACAGGTAGGACTTGACCACTCGTCATGGCCCATCTATTTGGATCGTGACATAACTAATCCCATGAGATATATTCTTGGACCCCTAAAAGATACAACTTAATATATTATGGCAAGTTAGCGGTTACTAGTTTGAATTCTAGCATACACGTTAAATATATACTCATATCTCAATATAGTTTAAACATGAAACCTCTTAGTCTACATAACTTAGTAGAATTCTTTTTTTTTTTTCTTTTGGTAGAAGAATTCATTTGTTATCTACATTTTATTTTTACTAATGTACCTTGTTGTTTTTCCTTAGAATATCCAATTCAGCTTCTGAATCACTTCCTCGTCAAACAAACCACAAACTATAAGTTTTCAAAATTTTAGACATTATCAAATTAATATTTCAATATATACGTTAGAATTTTTTTTAATTGTAATGATTAAATATTAGTAAATATTTGCCTCTTTGATGACATTTTTTCAACACTATGTATTATTCTCTATTTCAACTAAAAAGAGCTTCGAGCGTGTTATTAATTTAAGGTAATTCAAATAAGTTAACTAGTAATTTGATTTAGGCTCTCAAGAAATTGAGTTAGCTCGATTTAGGAAAATCAAACTCAGTCATTAATATAATACGTAAGGAGTAGCAGCTTTGTGAAGGAAAAAATAATAATTAAAAATATTCAAAATGCAATAAGAAATTAACAATATTTTCCTAGACCGGACTCCTGCATAAAGTAAAAGTAGAAGCCAACCAAGTAAAGAGTACAATACTTGGTTAAGGTTTCAATTTGCACATTTCTAAAGGCAGAAAGGAAAAGTGAAAAAAAAAAAACTCATCATTTTGCTTCATATAACCGTTATATAACGGATATCCATTATACCCGGCTACATAATTCAAATATATTTGGTGAAAAGCAAAAGCTTCCACCTTTACACTTTTTCCCTCCTCCCCAATATTGAACTATGCTTTCCACGTTCATATAATATATTAATTCTTATAAAAGACTTATCAACGTTTACCATTCAAACATTTTCCCATCAATTCTATTCTTCTTCTATTTCTCAAATCCTCCCACATTTCCCACTATGGGTTCTTGCATTAGTAAATGCAACCCCCAAAAAGATTTCCATGAAGAAGATAATCACCTTGACAACCATGAATGTGTTAAAGATAAGCTTGTGATTTCACAAGCTCCCATATCTCCAAAAATTTCTCTTCCTCCTCCTTCTTCTTCTTCTTGTTCTTCTTCAACTATTCAAAAACGCGTCTCTTCTTCTCCTTCTTCATCTTCTTCAGTATCGCTTTCTTCGTTTTCCTCTATTGTGACTAACACTACATTATCTTCATCTTTGTCGTCGTCTTCTTCCTCCTCTTCATCCTCTTGTTTCAAGGATCGTTCTTTCTCGAACGACTTCTTATTATCTTGTGCCCAAGAACACGATCGTATACTTGACATCAAGAAGATAAATAAAGGAAGTGCTTGTGTTAGTCAAAATATTTCATCAACCATGTCTTCAAGTAGCAAGACGAAATGTCCGCGATCATCATCATCATCATCCTCTTTGTCGAAACCACCAAGTCCTCGAAGAGAGTGCAATTCGACAACCCCTAAGAAAAGGCCACGTGCCAATTCGCCAACAATAGTTCGACAAAAGAGTTTTAGAAAAGAACCTGATCAACTAGTCAAGGGAGGGAATATTGGTAATACTTCAAATGTTACTTCTACATATCATCATTTTCCTAGTGCTAGAACAACTCTTAAATCACCATCTCCAAGTCGAAGATTTCCTTCGAATTTGAACGGTGACAGCTCGTTTAGAAGATCGGTTGTTTCCAAAGGGAATAATGGGAATATTTTATCAAGATCGTCATCTTTGAGAAGAGATAACCATATCAATAATAATCAGCCAGCAATTACTCCAAAACGTGAAGGAAAAATGAGAAATGCACTACAGGTTTCTCCAAAGATTGATGAAATGGAAATTGGAGAAGTAAAGTCAAGTCACGATTTGGACTCCTTTCTCATGGAGGATATTAACAATCCTCTTATTGCCTTGGATTGTTTTATTTTTCTCTAGAGCGAGATCTCTTTGTACAAAAAAAAAAAAATCTCTTTTTTGTTTAAGTTTTTTTTTTCTTTTCTTTTCTTTCTTTGGGTCTCAAGAGGAGTTGAACCCATAATTTAATTAAGCCAAGAATTTTAATGGTGAAAGTATGGGACTTTCTACCATGTTAAGACTTGTCTTGTTGGAACGACAAGCATGTTGATAGCGTGTGATTTATATTTCACGTTTACAATTTTTTAATAATTGCTGTATATTCCTTTAAAACTATCATTTCGATAGGAGATAAAAGGAAAGATTTGTGGTGTTTGTTTGCATTCTTTGATTGAAATGGGTATGCTTGTTCTGAATGTGTATACTTTATCACCCAGTGTTATTTCTCTTTCATAAAGAAAATGAATGCTTGTGCAGTATATTATTTTTCGCTTTTTCTTTTATTTTTATTTTTATTTTTATTTTTGAAAGTCTTAATTTACTTTTTTGTTCACTACGACAGCTAGGTTGGTTGGTCTTGGATAATGACCATTCAATATGCAAATCTCTTGCCAAGTGTCAACTGTCAACTACATCATTCTGTAATTAGTTTTTAGAAATAGGCGTTTGATTTTTATGAAAAGCATATTTCGGCTGTTTCCTACTACTCTTCCCCCACTATGTTGTTGATGGATAGATTTTGTAAAGTCAAACGAAATACAAGTACAACAATCAAGTTGAATTTTTCCAAGAATATGGTTTGAATATTTTGAGACGAAGAAGAGAAGTAATTAAACTGCTGGAAAATAAAATTCGGTGTATGTACATTTAGGAGGCAAATGGCAGGTATTTATATAATACCGTTAGAATCTGCTAAGATAATTATATCTCACCAGACATAACTCCTCCTAATAGATACTACTTTAAAAGTGATTTCTTACGACAACAACAACTACCCAGTAAAATCCCATAAAGTGGGGTCTGGAGAGGGTAATGTGTACGCAGACCTTACCCCTACCCCGATAGGGCAGAGAGGCTGTTTCCGATAGACCCTCGGCTCAGAAAGACGAAAATAAAAACAAGAAAAGACAATTCATTAGTAACTGCAGTAGAAACCGTAATAGTAACAGAAGCATAACAACCAAAAGATAAATAACATGCAATAACAGTAATCAATATCCGAGACCCGGGCTAAGATAAACAGCAAGGATAGTGTGTGCTTAAACTGCAAGCCATCTAAGATCAACCCTAATCCTACCCCGCCTCACCGGGTATGAAGTAGGAAAGCTCTACTACCCCCTAACCTACAACCCTAATGTTTGACCTCCAGACCTTCCTATCAAGGGCCATGTCCTCGGAACTCTGCAGTCGTACCATGTCCTGCCTAATCACCTCTCCCCAGTACTTCTTAGGCCTCCCTCTACCTCTTCTCATACCCAACACGGCCAACCGCTCACATCTCCTCACCGGAGCATCAAGGCTTCTCCTCCGCACGTGCCCGAACCATCTGAGCCTCGCTTCCCGCATCTTGTCATCCACAGGTGCCACGCCCACCTTATTCCGAATATCTTCATTCCTAATCTTGTCTATCCTAGTGTGCCCGCACATCCACCTCAGCATCCTCATCTCTGCTACCTTCATCCTCTGGATATGGGAGTTCTTAACCGGCCAACACTCTGCCCCATACAACATGACCGGTCTAACCACAGCTCTATAGAACTTACCTTTGAGTATCGGTGGCACTTTCTTGTCACACAAGACTCCAGATGCAAGCCTCCATTTCATCCAGCCCGCCCCTATACAGTGAGTGACGTCCTCGTCGATCTCTCCGTCCCCCTGAATCATCGACCCAAGGTACTTGAAGCTATCTCTCTTGGGGATTGCCTGTGATCCAAGCATCACGTCCCTGCCTACTTCCCTCGACTCAACGCTAAACTTGCACTCCAGGTACTCCGTCTTAGACATGCTCAATTTGAAACCCTTAGACTCGAGGGTCTGTCTCCAAACCTCCAACCTCTCGTTAACACCGACCCTCGTCTCATCAATTAGGACTATGTCATCAGCAAATAACATACACCATGGCACATCCCCTTGAATATGGTGTGTCAGTGCATCCATCACCAAGGCAAATACGAACGGGCTAAGTGCAGAGCCTTAGTGTAATCCCATAACAACCGGGAAATGCTCCGAGTCGCCTCCCACAGTCCTAACCTTAGTCTTAGCTCCATCATACATGTCCTTGATCGCTCATATGTAGGCTCTCGGCACGCCTTTTGCCTCAAGACATCTCCAGAGCACCTCCCTAAGGACCTTGTCATATGCTTTCTCCAAGTCAATAAACACCATGTGCAGATCATTCTTCTTATCCCCATACTGTTCCACCAGCCTCCTAATAAGGTGGATAGCTTCCATAGTGGAGCGACCCGGCATGAACCCATACTGGTTGTCGGATATAGACGTCGTCTTCCTCATCCTCGCCTCCACCACCCTCTCCCAGACTTTCATGGTATGGCTAAGTAACTTGATACCCCTATAATTGTTACAACACTGGATATCACCTTTGTTCTTGAACAATGGTACAACTGTACTCGACCTCCATCCTCCGGCATCCTCTTCGTCCTAAAAATAACATTGAACAACCCAGTCAGCTACTCCAGTCCTGCTCTACCCACACACTTCCAAAACTCAGCCGGAATCTCGTCTGGACCGGTCGCTCTACCCCTACTCATCTTACGCAAAGCCCCCACGACCTCCTCCACCTTAATGCGCCTGCAATACCTAAAATCTCGAAGACTCTCCAAATGCCCCAAATCCCCTAGCGCTATATCCCGGTCCCCCTCCTCGTTTTGAAGACCATAGAAGTACGTCTGTCATCTCTGCTTAATCTGGGACTCTCCCATCAATACTCTACCATCCTCGTCTTTGATGCACCTTACTTGGTCCAGATCCCGGGCCTTCCTCTCCCTCGCTTTAGCCAGGCGAAACAACTTTCTGTCCCCGCCTTTTTCCCCCAATTCCTCGTATAGATGACCAGACGCTGCATTCTTAGCCTCCGTGACCGCCAGCTTTTCCTCTTTCCTCGCCACCTTGTACCTCTCTCTATTTTATCTCCTCTCCTCCTCGCTTGTGCTTCCTGCCAACTTCCCGTACGCTACCTTCTTTGCCTCCACTTTACCTTGCACTACGTCATTCCACCACCAGCCGCCTTGGTGCCTGCCAGAAAAACCCTGCGATATCCCTAGCACCTCTTTCGCCACCTGCCTCATGTAGTTCGCCGTCGTTGACCACATAGTGCTCGCGTCTCCACTACTCCTCCAAGCTCCCATAGCGGATAACCTTCCCTCCAACTCCTGTGCTTTATCCTTGGTTAAAGCTCCCTATCTAATCCTCGGTTGGCCACGAGCATACCTCTTCTTCCTCTTCATCATAATGCCGATATCCATCACTAAGAACCTGTGCTGAGTCGCGAGGGTCTCTCCCGGGATAACTTTGCAATCCTTGCACAACCCTCTATCAAACCTTCTCAGGAGAAGGTAATCAATCTGAGTCTTCACCGCCGAACTTTGGAAAGTAACCAGATGCTCCTACCTCTTCGGAAAAGTCGAGTTCGCAATCACCAGGTCGAAAGACTTAGCGAAGTCTAACGGCGAATTACCTCCTCCGTTCCTATCCCCAAGGCCAAAGCTACCATGCACCTCGCCATAACTACCAGCAGCTGACCCAATATGGCCATTAAAATCCCCTCCAATAAATAACCTTTCAGTAGGTGGAATACTACGCACAATATCGTCCAAACCCTCCCAAAAGCGCCTCTTAACCTCCTCGTCCAAGCCCTCTTGCGGCGCGTAAGCGCTAACGACATTGAGGGTGCGCTCACCAATCACCAACTTAATAAACATTAGCCTATCATTCACTCGCCTAACCTCAACCACAGACTCTCGAAGATCCCTATCCACCAAGATACCCACTCCATTCTTACCCTTCACGACTCCAGAGTACCACAACTTATACCCGACGACGTTCCTCGCCTTCGACCCTGCCCACCTAGTCTCCTGGACACAAGCTATATTAACCTTCCTTTTCTGGACAATCTTTGCCAACTCAATAGACTTACCCATCAGCGTGCCTATGTTCCACGACCCGATCCTCAACCTACAAGCTCCATCTTTCCCCTAACCCTCCTTGCCTCCCGACCCATCCACTGACCCCCTCCCTACCCCCCTTCTCACCCCCGGCACCCCTCGAGGACACGACCTTACTCGACCATCCCAGACCACAACTACTATACCTATGACAAACTCCAGAAAACACTAACACAGACCCAAACAAGAAAATAACAGGTAGCAACTACAAGTACTCTAATAATATGCTTAAAGTGATGCTAACTAAATAGCCACAATTTAACCAATATAAAGAAAGAGATAAGAAAGCGGGAGGTACCAACTCCCGATGGAAAGAACCTGGAAATATGACTTGATTCACCCGAGGTCACAGAAATCTGTCGTGCGTCCTTCCCACTCCCGCCAACCTTTGCGCACACTAGTCGATGATGCTTCTTCGCCGGCACGAGTGTCTCACTTGCCTTTTCTCTGATATTCGCCAGCAATTTGATAACCTGCCACACTTGAAGGGCTAGATCTGGAGAGCAGCGGCGATGCTCCTCAAGCCAGATCTAAGTGGACGCGATTTTTCTTGAAGGGGGGGGGGGGGAGGAAAAAAAATAGATGTAGAAAAAAAAGGGGGTATGGTGGGGGAAGACGAAAAATAGAAGACGAAAAAATATAAAAAGAGAGAGGGAGAGGAAGGAACGGGGGCGACTTTGGGTTTGGGGTAGAAGGGCAGTGAGGACGGAAAAGAGGAACAGGAGAAGAAGGGTGGAAGAAAGGAGGAGAGAGAGACTATTATAAAAGTCATTTCTTAATCTGGTTTAAATTCATACTTGTTTCTCTTCTCTTTCAATCCTGTGTTTTTGTGATAGATTGTTGAAGAACTACGTCACTGCTAGAATATTAGTGAAGGACCGATCCCTCTAAATGAAATTTATCCAGTGCTAGTTCAAAATTTGCGAGGAGCTATATCTAGCCTTGCTAATTGTAGGGCCCCAATATTTTAAATAACGACATATTGGTTTAGCAAATAAAACATAAAACAAAAAAATAAAACCAAAAAGAAAAAAAGAAAAAGGATGGAACAAAAGGGCTGAAGCCAATTCGAAAGTAATTAACCTGCTAAGGTTAAGGGTCTAGGAAGCAAAGAAGCTTTGGCTTCCGAAGGAAACAAGAAACAGAAAAAGAAAAAAAAACCGAGAAAGAAAGAAAGAGAAAAAAAGAAGAAGAAGAAGAAAAAGCTTTGGTCAAAGGCTTTAAGAAGAATTGGGAGTTGAAATGGAAAGTATTAAAGTTCTCCTTCGACTCAAGCGGTTAACCTTCTTTTTCTCATCTATTGAATTATTTCACTATATCTATGTAATTTCATGTAGTACATAATAATTCAATATCAACTTTCTTTTGTATAAAAAAATATATAACTACTATGGATAATAAGGCCATAAAGGTTTGGTTTAAGCACTGATAGGTCTAATTTTAGAGGAATAAATTATACTAAATAGTTTAAATTGATAGAATTATGGACTAGTTCTATTATTAAATATAAATCCACAAATTAAGACTCAAACATGAACCCCGATTGTTGGGTATTTAAATTAGCTATGAATTAGCCTAAACATGGAAGTTAACATGATATCGATATTATGTAATTATAGATTGATTGGAGGAAGTTGCGCGAATTGCTCGAGGTGAAGCATTTGGTATCTCGGCACGAGTACTGTGAGTAGTAACCTTAGCGCAATTTGTGTTTTCATAACTTGCATGATTTACACATGATTTTTAATACGAATATGTTGCCGATTATTTTGAGTTGCATGTGGGACAAGTCTTTTACTCGATATGATACCGAAATAGTTATTTGAGATGATTACCATTGTTTTAAATATTTCCGTTGTCAGTAGATCTATTTTACCGTTACTTGAATTTACTGTTATCGAAATAAAATTATATGATTTGATAAGAACCGAAATTCCCTATATTATTTTCAAATATTTTCTACGAGTATATACGGATTACAGAGACAAGTATAAATGGGAGTAGACATTGAAGGATCCCGTAGCTAACGGCGGGTTCGTTAGACTTGGTGCACCTTGTAATTACCGATTACCGTTACAGCCCTCGCTAGTGGGAAGGTAGAACTAGCATTGTTACTGATTTTCCTCGAGTAGGGACTACCTTATATTTGACTTCTTGCGAAAAAGTCCACACTTATACCGATTACATGATCCGTACATTGAAACCTTCCAAATGTGAATATTGATATTATACAGTGGTTAGCGAACTTATTACCGAATTGTTAATTATATTATACTACAAGAAAAATATGATGAGACTGAAAATTATTTATTGTTTCTGAAAGGGCATTTTATGATATTTTCTTTTAAATATACTAGCATGTTTCTGACTTGTCCCCAATGAAAACGATTGTGGTTGAGTGTTATTACTCACTGAGCTAGCGACTCATTCCCCGCTAATTTTTTTTACAGAGACAGCAGTTGACGCGGGCGAGGATTTCGTTAATTAGAGCGCACAGGTTGATAGTTTCTTGGTGAGCCTCGCACTTGTTCGCATGGGCGGAGATTTTATTTATTGTTATGGTCGTTCTTTGAACTCTTAGAGTCGCTCCAGAGTCATCATTTTGGTGTCATGAGTATTACTTTGTTATTATAGTCTTATGTTGAGTATCGTTCTTTATTATCAAAGTTGGAGATAATTAGTGTTTCTAGTTGTTCCTGGGTTGGTAGCAATGGTGGAGACTTGTTTTGGTTAATTGATAAGTTGTCGAGTGGTCTATTTGATATTAGGATGGTTTGTTGTTGATTTTGAGATAAATTTTTTTTTTTGGATAGTCCAAAAACAGGGGAAACTGTGTCCGATTTTCTGTAAAATACTGATGAGGCTTACTTGGGGGCACTTGCTCCTGAGCGCCGGTCACGATCCTAAATTGGGTCGTGACAAAGTTGGTTTCAGAGCTTAGGCTTTAAGTCCCGAGTCATGGAGCAATGTTTAGTAGAGTCTTGTTCATGGGTATGTAGCCGCCCATACTTATGATCTTGAGGCTACTGAACATCTAGGAATGTTTTTCCTTCTTTCATTCTTTGATCGTGCGTTGAATAACTTGAGATTGACTTTGAAATATTTCTTTCACAGATGGCTAGGTCACGCACACCCTCATCCGCTGGACATGGTACTACCCGGGGTGGCGGTCAAGTTGGAGTTCATCAAACTAGAAGATAGAACGCTCCTCAACCTGAAGTTGGGAACATGGGTCAACCCCAAGCTGCTATGCCAGATCAAGTGCAAGGGCAGGGAGTTCAGGACGCTCCACCACCAGTGCCAACTGTTGTACCTACTGTTGCCTTACCTGCAGACGTAGTGGAAAGGTTATTGAATGTGTTAGAGGCATTAGTGCCTACTTAGGGTGGGAGTTCAGCTCCTCAGGCTACTTTACAGACACAAGCACCTGCACAGACACATACTTTCGGAAATAAGGAAGTATCCCTACAAGAGTTCCTGAAATTGATATCACCAAAATTCACAGGTTCTGATAATTCAGTAGATCCTCAAAGTTTCTTGGATGGGACACTCAAGGCATTACATGATCTAGGATGTTCTAGTGAGAGAGGAGTGTATCTGGCAGCATACAAACTAGAGGCTATGGCCAACACATAATATGAAATTGTTTTTCTAGGAAGGCCAGCAGGAGCAGCACCACTGACATGGGACGAGTTCACTAAGTTGTTCAAGAATCATTTTCTTCCAGACAGCCTGATGCAAAAATATGCTAGAAACTTTGAGAGATTGGTTCAGACTCCAGATATGGATGTATCAACATATAACACTAAGTTTTGTAAGTTGGCTATATATGCTCCTTACTTAGTGCCTACCGAAGAAGCTCGAGTTTAGAGGTTTGTTGGATTGGTTGGTCGTCTATACACTGCAGTAGCCCCACAGATGAAGACTTTATCCTACTCTAATGTAGTCAACCTTGCTAGAAAGATTGAAAACAAGGGACGTGATGAGCGTGCAGCTAGTGATTTACGTAAGAAGGCCAAGACAGGAGGGTCTATCAGTGGCAGTTTTAGTGAAAATCGAAGAGCAGGAAATCAGGGACAACAACAACGGGGTTCTTAGACAGGGACACATTTGTCTTCACAGTCCCCATATAGGCCACATTATAGACAGGGTACTAGGGGACCGTCAGCATCTGGACATCGTAATTCTGGGCAGATATATGCCACTACTCCAGTCTGCCAGACCTGTGGTAGATCACATTTGGGCCAATGTCGTGTTCTAACTGGAGAGTGATTTTGGTCTGGTCAGTTGGGACATCATTTGGGGGATTGCCCTCAGCCTCCGAGAAATTTCAACCAGGCTTCTACTCAGTCAGCTGCACCGACTCGGACTACTCGTAAAACTTCAGGTGCTACAGGTACAGGAAATAGAGGTCGAGGTGCTGGAGACCGTGCTACTGTGAATCAAGGACAAGGGAATGCTGGTAGAGGTCAGGCGAGAGTTTTTTCATTTACTAGACAGGATGCCCAGGCCTCGAATGCTGTGGTTACAGGTATTCTTTCTGTCTATTCATTTGATGCACTTGCGTTGATTGATCCGGGATCTACTGACTCCTATGTGTCCTCGTACTTTGCTTTGAGGTTTAATAGACAGCCTGAGCTATTGAATGATCATTTTCTAGTTGCTACTCCTGTTGGAGCGTCTCTATTAGCTGAATACGTGTATCGTGCTTGTCAGATTCGGGTTGAGGGTAGAGATACCCTAGCTGACCTTATTGTACTTGATATGATTGACTTTGACATGCTGATGGGAATGTATTAGTTATGTTCTTGCTATGCTATAGTCGATTGTCATGCAAAGATAGTTAAGTTTGAGATACCAAATGAACCCAGTTTCATTCTAAGAGCGAGTCAGGTTCCACGGATTTGCAAAGCTGTATCTTTTATGAAAGCTCAACGACTTCAGAAGAAAGGTTGCTTGGATCTTTTAGCTATTCT